TGACCTTACATTGTATTTCTAGCTCTACCTTTAAAGTTTTTCAATTTTAGTATTTAAGTATATATTTAGACATACCAAGTTTTTTTTTTTTGCAGTTTTTGGCCGGGGCTGGGTTTGAACCCGCCACCTCCGGCATATGGGGCCAGCACCCTACCCTTTTGAGCCACAGGCACTGCCCCGACATACCAAGTTTTAACACATTAAATCAATGTCATTATACTTTTAGAAATAAGAGAGGAAAAACTAGATTTTGCTCTGGAGGAGCAGGGTATCCTCTTGAGAGTTTCCAGCAGAGCAGGACCAGTAGTGCATAACCTTCAGCTGAATGCGAGGCAAGGTAAGTGGAGTCTACCCTGGCCCCACTCCACTGGGGCCATTTTATCTTTAGAGTCACTAAACAGCTAACTAAAAACAGTCATTTCATTACCTGTGTTTTGTGTCTAAATATGAAATTTAAAAACATTTTACACTGCCAAGCAAGATAAGGTATAACTCTAACACACGGAAATAATTTTGCTCTCTCCTTCAGAGCTGTCACCTTGGGAGGGGAAAACTACATTTCAACAACAATGTTACTATTCAAAGGACTTTTGGAAATTTTTCTTTACTCTAAGATCTGCTACTTTCTTTCTTTTCTCCAATTTTAAAAGACAAGTTATAAAAGTAATGACTGCCCATGGAAAAAGGTGAGTAAAGACAAGCTCCATGGTCCCTAGGATGGCCCTGGCTAATATTTGCAATGTGCTGTGAGGATCCTTAGGGAGACATAGCCTGTGATCTGCTAACCTGAATTCACCATAAAAGTCACATTTTGGCCCCCAAAGACAGATCCTTTCCTTATAGCTTCCCAACTAAACCTCTTCCGGGACTTATAAAAAGAAACTCAAAGTCTCAGGGCCATCTCCACCCCATCCCCCTACTTCTTATGTAAAAGAGAAAGTAAAAGCCTCAGGAACCTGTGAAGAAGGGCACCCACAGCTGGGGAGGTGGCTCACACCTGTAATCCTAGTAATTTGGGAGGCCAGGGAGGCCAAGATTGCTTGAGCTCAGGAGTTCGAGATCAGCCTGAGCAAGAGTGAGATCCCTGCCTCTAAAAAATAGCCTGACAGGGTAGCACATGTGGCTCCAAGGGGTGGGGCACCAGCCCCATATGCCAGAGGTGGCAGGTTTGAACCCAGCTCTGGCCAAAAACTGCAAAAAAAATATAGCCTGACGTTGTGGTGGGCACCTGTAGTCCCAGCTACTTGGGAGGCTGAGACAAGAGAGTCATTTGTGCCCAAGGTTTGTGCCCAACGTTTGAGGTTGCTGTGAGCTGTGACACCAAGGTGCTCTACTGAGGGCAACAAAGTGAGACTCTATCTCCAAAAAAAAGAAGAATTGGACCCCCAGACCACATGTTAAGAAAGTTTCTTGGCTGGTTCGGCACCTGTAGCACAGTGGTTATGGTGCTAGCCACATACTCTGAAGTTGTTGGGTTCGAACCCGGCCCAGGCTAGCTAAACGACAATGACAACTGCAACAAAAAATAGCCGGGCTTTGTGGAGGGCGCCTATAGTCCCAGCTACTTGGGAGGCTGAGGCAAGAGAATCTCTTAAGCCCAAGAGTTTGAGGTG